TCTATGAAGAAAAGCACCCAAAATTTGAAGAAAAAAAGAAGTAACTGAAGGCAATTGGAGAATAGCTTAGGATACAGCTATAAATAGATTTTTTCTCTTATTAAATGATTGCTGATGAATTTTGCATGTGTAGCTAGAAAATGTCTCTACTTATGCATGCTGAAAGATGTAAAAGCATTTTTAAATGTAAGAATGGTTTCAAGTACTGTACCTGCTCTTGGCTTCATTTGAATAATGTGTGTATAATCTTATAAATGCTAATACAACTGAAAGAAACAAAGCACAGCTCTTCAGCATTCCATACACCGAGAAATCAGGAGATAATGGAGTGCACCAGAGCATCTTGCTGTTTTGATATTTTATTAAACATGCATATCATTAACAAGAATAAAGACTATTTGTTTACAGATGAATCAAAAGAAGCCAAAGTAAGCTATTACCAGCAGGAGAGTGGGGTGGGAGGAGGTATTTTTTCATGCTTTGTGTGTATATAATAAGATCTTCTAAACTTTCCACAGTATGCATCCAATGAAGTGAGCTGTAGCTCACAAAAGCTTATGCTCAAATAAATTGGTTAGTCTCTAAGCTGCCACAAGTACTCCTTTTCTTTTTACGAATACAGACTAACACGGCTGTTACTCTGAAAAGTAAGCACTGTTCTGGATTATCTGCAGTCACTGTATTTGATGATAAACACGAAGGCCTCAATTTTTTCAAAAGTGAATAGCATGGTGGTTATATTTTTGAACATGAAAACCGGATTCAAGTTCAATAATCTGCTCATTTAAACAAAAAATAAAGATGGTAATATTTATCTAAACCGTCTCAAAATTGGAAACTTTCAGAATGAAAAAAGAAACATTACTGATAAACTACCATGAGAACTATTAGTATGTTAATGAAATAACATCAATAAATCATTTTGCCCTATACGTGTATCATGCATAATATTATCTACATACTTTAATGTTGAAACAAAGGAGGGAGGGAGGGGTATCTGCCATCTAAATGGTTGGAAAGCCAATAGTGGTGAGTTTCTAGCAATCCCAGTCATATACATTTGTATACAGAGAAAAATTGAGCAACTAGAAACTAAAATGTGAACTCCAAATATTCACCTCTACAGAGTGATCTTATAACAGTGTTCAGAGGAACAGCCGTGTTAGTCTGTATTCGCAAAAAGAAAAGGAGTACTTGTGGCACCTTAGAGACTAACCAATTTATTTGAGCATGAGCTTTCGTGAGCTACAGCTCACTTCATCTGATGAAGTGAGCTGTAGCTCACGAAAGCTCATGCTCAAATAAATTGGTTAGTCTCTAAGGTGCCACAAGTACTCCTTTTCTTTTTGCTTATAATAGTGGTGTACATTCAATTATAACCCTAATATTCTGCACTAACTGTAAGTTCCTAAGAAACATTAACTGAAAATTTATCATTTAAAAAGCAAGGAAACAAACAAGAGAATGGGCCTAAAATGATTCTGTATAGTTTTTCCTTAAAAAAATAAAAAAATAAGTCTATCTACCTAAAAAAAAAAAATTCAAATGTGTCCTCACCCTGGTATCTGAACAACAACAGATGCATCTTGTAGTCCTCCCATTCAAAAAGTTCCAACTGATTTCAACAGTTCTGAAAGGATTCCTTGTTTCTAACTTATAAAACTTAAGGCCAAGTTTCGAACAATGTACAACAACTCCTTGAAGCTAATGAAGTTTGTTTTCATTTGGTTTCATTTCATAGGCCACAGAAAGTCTATGGATGAAGTGTGGTTTGTTTGTTTTTTTAAGTGGTAATACCATGCTAGCAATTTTATCTGGCTGATGGTCTCCTTCAAAATATCCTTATCTAGATGGTCCCCTTCAAACTACCCCTTCTCCAACTGCACAAGAGCAGCAGGGGCCCCATGAGTGGAGAGAAGGTTCTGCTCTACCTATACAGGAGGGTCTTAAACTTAGACCACACACAGCTGGAGCCCACCCCAGAGTGGTGCTGATTAACTAAATGGTAAAGATAAAAAGACAAATGATGAAGATGAGAAACTCAGGGGGAGGGGAGGATGGACAGGAAAGGCAATGAGAGCTATGGGGATGGAGAGCAGGAGATCACCTCAGGGCAGGGGAAAGCCCCTTAGTGAGGGAGAAAGCTGATGGGGGACCAACCCGATGGAAAACATGCCTTTCAGTGATAGATACAAGGAGCTCAATCTATTCAACAAAGAGAAAGTTAAGGGGTGACAATTACAGTCTATAACTACCTACATGGGGAACACATATTTAATAATAGACACTTCAATCTATCAAAGATAGGTATAACATAATCCAATTGGTTAATGTTGAAGCTACACATAAAAAATGTAAACCTCATTTCCAGTCTAACAGTGAGAGTAATTAACCATTGGAACCACTTGGAACCTGCATCATAGTGGATCCTTCATCTCTGACAATTTTTAAATCAAATTTGGATTTTTTTTTTCTAAAAGCTATGCTCTATGAATTATTTTGGGGAAGTTCTATGGCCTGTGTTATACATGAGGTTAGGTTAGATGATCACAAAGGTTCCTTCTGTCCATGAAATCTATGAATCTATTAATAGTAATGTAGAAAGGCCAGCTGAGGAGATCAGTGAAGGTGGTATGAGAAAAAGACCTCCAGATTGGAACTGTCCCTTTAAAATCAGGCTATCTGGTCACCCTACTCAGCTGGGATGAGGGAAGTTCACCCCCCACCCATTCTGGAGCATGAATTTGAATGTAGGTCTTTCTCCTCCAAGGGACTGCCCTAACCACCAGACTATGGTTTATTCCAGGGTGGGGGGCTTTCAGTCTCTCCAGTTGAAGCCATTCAACTGTGTATAAAATACTTAAATAATCACTGGACTGCAGAGAGAGAGAGAGAGAGAGAGAGACTAACACCTGGTGCTTAGGGCATTCACCTGACAGGTGGGAGACCAAACTCTGTGAATGTGCTAATAAAATTTGCCCGTGACACGAAGCTGGGTGATATTGCCAATACAAAAGAGGATCGGAATATCATACAAGAATTGGATGACCTCGAAAACTGGAATAATGGAAATGTGATGAAATTTGATAAGTGCAAAGTTATGCACTTCGGGACTAACATGAAGAATTTTTGCTATAAGCTGGAGATGTATCAACTGGAAGCGACAGAGGAGGTGAAAGACCTGGGTATATTGGTTGATAAATGGATGACTATGAGCTGCCAATGTGATGTGTCTGTGAAAAAGGCTAATACAGTCTTGTGATACATCAGCTGAGGTGTTTCCAGTAGAAAGAGGGAAAGTGTGAGTACCATTATAGAAGACGCTAGTGAGACTTCATCTGGAATACTGTGTGCAGTTCTGGTTTCCTATGTTTAAGAAAGATTAATTCAAATTAGAACAGGTACCGAGAAGGGCTACTAGGATGATCAGAGGAATGGAGTTTTACATTGCACTCCATATGTTTATGGCAGTGGTTGCCAAACTTGTTCTGCTGCTTGTGCAGGGAAAGCCTCTGGCAGCCGGGCTGGTTTGTTTACTTGCCACATCCACAGGTTCGGCCGATCGTGGCTCCCAGTGGCTGAGGTTTGCTGCTCCAGGCCAATGGGAGCTCCTGGAAGCAGCGCGGGCTGAGGGATGTATTGGCCACCACTTCCAGCAGCTCTCGTTGGTCTGGAGCAGCAAACTGTGGCTACTGGGAGCCACAATCGGCCGAACCTGTGGACACGGCAGGTAAACAAACTGGCCCAGCCTGCCAGTGGCTTTCCCTGCACAAGTGGAGGAACAAGTTTAGGAACCACTGGTTTACGGAAATATGCTTATGAGTGTAAATATAACGTAACTGGAATATGCTTTATCCAAAAGTTCTCTTGTAAGGTATGATTATAAAGCTTATAATCTACTGAGTATTCATCTTATTTGTATAAATGTATCATTCTTGTATCTGAAGCTAGAAATATGAAGTATTAATCTGAGACCTATTCTAACTATGCAAAGCGTGGGCCACTAATGGTGGCTAGGAATCTTGACGGCTCCCATTAACCAGAACAATTGGTTGCAAATGGCTATGTTTACTTGTAAGCCTTCCTGTATGCGTGTGTGTGTGTGTGTGTGTGCCAGCCGGTGGGTAATTGTGACAGATTTCTGTTACCAATCTGCCTGAGCATCAGGTGATCAGGCTGAGGCCACAGGATCGTTAAGGAAGGAGAAGACGGAGCACATCAAGTAACTGAGTTTAAAGCTTTATTCATAAAATAATAAAACAACAGCGGAGAGCACTGGGGATTCCATTCCCCATGTCACCCAAAGGAAGGAAGAAAGTGTTAGTGCCCCAAGCCCTAACCCACTTTCATACTCACACCCTGTCAAGGTCCCCTCCCCACTCTAAACTCTAGGGTACAGATGTGGGAACCTGCATGAAAGACCCCCTAAGCTTATTCTTACCAGCTTAGGTTAAACGCTGCCACCACCAAAGTGTTACACAAAGAACAGGGGAAGTGCCCAATTGGAATTGTCCCTCCCCCCAAAATATCCCCCCAAGCACTACACCCCCTTTCCTGGGAAAGGCTTGATAAAAATCCTCACCAATTTGCATAGGTGAACACAGACCCAAACCCTTGGATCTTAAGAACAATGAAAAAAGCAATCCGGTTCTTAAAAGAAGAATTTTAAATAAAGAAAAAGTAAAAGAATCACCTCTGTAAAATCAGGATGGTAAATACCTTACAGGGTAATCAGATTCAAAACAGAGAATCCCTCTAGGCAAAACCTTAAGTTACAAAAAGACACAAAAACAGGAATATACATTCCATTCAGCACAACTTATTTTATCAGCCATTTAAACAAAACAGAATCGAATGCATATCTAACTAGATTGCTCACTGATTTTTTACAGTTCTGACCTGCATTCCTGCTTTGGTCCCGGCAAAAGACACACAGAGAGAACCCTTTGTTTGTCCCCCCCTCCCCCGCCTCCAGCTTTGAAAGTATCTTGTCTCCTCATTGGTCATTTTGGTCAGGTGCCAGCGAGGTTATATTACCTTCTTAACCCTTTACAGGTGAAAGGGTCTTTCCTCTGGCCAGGAGGGATTTAAAGGTGTTTATCCTTCCCTTTATATTTATGACACACCCACACTACCTGAGGTTGGCCAAGCCTGAGTGTAACGTAAGAAGAAGAGGGGGAGAGGTGGACGGAAGTTCTTGTCCCGTGCATGGGTTGTCCAGGATCCGCTGTTGATCTCCAATTTGCCTCAGCTCCCAGGCGGGTTTTTAAGTTCCTTGGGTCTCTTGGAGGCATCTCCCTCCTGGACCTTTGTTCCCCAAGCTCCGTATACCAGTTCGAACCGGCCATCCATGGCTTTCTCAGCTTTCCCAAAACACACCAGCTTCAGGGCTTTGAGACGCTTATTTTTCTCTCGCTGACCTTGTTGTCTCACTCCTTTTCACAGCCCCTGAAATTTTGTTCAGCAATTCTCCTTTCTCATGGCTGGTTGGAGGTGATGGGGGGGGAGGGGTAGACTCCTCCCCTTCTGTCTTGGCAGGTATCAGAGTGTGTGCAATGGCCTTGGGCTGGAGTCAGCTCCTTATCTTCAGGTTTAGCTGAAACATCAAGTTGACTTGTTCCTTTCTCCTTTCCTCACCCTTCAGCCTTTCACAGCCTGTAAAGAAACCTTTCATACCATTAACCCATCCCAACATTCTTTCCAATACATACAACAGTATTAGCAATATATGAGGCTGGTGTTTACCCAGGAGACCTCCGGGGGGAGAGGGGGAGACATCTTGTGACATAATGAAGTCTCACAGAACATGTGAACATGTCACATTATACTGGAATCCATCTTAAACATGGCATTTTTCCATTTAGAAGGAAGGGTGGGAACTCAGAGAGAGATAAAAAATTCCAGCCTTTGCCAAAGATATAAAAGGGGGTGGAATAGAACAAAGGGGGCTGCAGTCATGAGAAAACCTCTAGTTACCACCTGAGCTGCAACTAACAGGAACTGTACCGGGGAAAGGATTGGACCCAGACTAAGAAGGAGTCTAGTCTGTGAAAGAAGCTTATTGGAACATCTCTAAGGGTGAGATTTACCTGTACTCAGTTTCTTAAATGCATTAGACTTAGATTTGCATGTTTTGTTTTATTTTGCTTGGTAACTTACTTTGTTCTGTCTTACTTTGTTATTACTTGAAACCACTTAAATCCTACTTTTTATATTTAATAAAATCACTTTTGTTTATTAGTAAACCCAGAGTAAGTGATTAATACCTTGGGGAGCAAACAGCTGTGCATCTCTCTCTATTGGTGTTATAGAGGGCGGACAATTTATGAGTTTACCCTGTGTAACCTTTATACAGAGTAAAATGGATTTATTTGGGTTTGGATTCCATTGGGAACTGGGTGTCCGGGTGCTGGAGATAAGTGACTTGCTGAAGCAGTTTTTGGTTAAAGTCTGTAGCTTTGTGGGCATGGACCAGACTTGGGTCTGTGTTGCAGCAGACTAGCGTGTCTGGCTCAACAAGGCAGGGTCTGGAGTCCCAAGCTGGCAGAGGAAAACAGGCTCAGAGGTAATTCCAGCATGTCAGGTGACAGTCCCAAGGGGGTCTCTGTGACCGAACCCATCACATGGAGAATCTATCATTCAAGAGGAGATGTAAGCAGCTTGACTTGTCTAGTTTAACCAAATGAAAGCTGAGGGGAGATATGATTGTTCTTTATCAATACATCAGAAAGAAAGAGCAATTATTTAAATTAAGAGCTAATGCTGGTGCAAGAACAAATGGATATAAACTGTCTCTCAATAACTTTAGGCTAGAAATTAAACAAAGGTTTCTAACCATCAAAGGAGTGAGGTCCTGGAACAGCTTTTAAAGGGGAGCAGTGGGGTCAAAACACTCATTTGTTTCAAGACTGAACTTGATAAGTTTATAGAGGGGATGGTATAATGAGGTTGTCTACAATGGCATATGGCCCATTTCTGACTGCTTTTAGCTCCAATAAATATTTATACAAAGTGGAATTGCTTTACTGGGAGAGACTGAGAAACCTCTGCTTCAGAATACCCAATAGCCTGGTGATTAGGACACTCATCTGGAAAGAAGATGACCTGTGTTCAAGCCCCTGCTCCTGAGCAGAGATTGAAAATTGGGTCTCCCTAGTGAGTGCTTTAACCCCAATGCTAAATGTTATAAAAGAGGTACCACTTCCTCCTCCTCTTTTTTGGCAGTTGTGTGAAATCCAGCCATTTAAATAGGTCCAGAACAAAAAAGTTTCAGGTCAAACATCATGTTTTGTTCAACCGGAAACAGACTTTTTCCATTCAGTTCACCCCAAACTGCCCCCCCAAAAAAATGGTGAGGAACAGCTAGTGAACCAACCCTGCCCCCCCAACAAAATAATTAACACCCCCCCAAAAACAATTATTCAACCTTTTCTGCTTGTAACACCGTTTATATTACCTCCGGCAGGTTCACCCCTGTTATAACTATATAGAGAGAAACAAAATTAATTTAATGGAATAATCAAGATGGATACATTCCTAACTGATCATTTTTCTGTAACCCTGTTCCACCTTTTCCCCTCTGTCTTTTGTGTGTTATGACTGAAGGTGCACTATAAACTTTTCAATGCAGAGACCATTGGACAGATTCTCTCCCGCACTGAAGCCTCTTTTGTGCTATTCAAAGGAGCCCAAAAGTACATAAAGGGTCAGCTGAGAATTCTCCTGATGGGGGTAGCTCTCAGAAGGTGCAGAGCTGGTGTCCTCTCCCTCAACTAGCTCTAGGGGAGTGAACATCTTGGCTGAAGACAGGGAAGAAGAGGGGATGTGTCCACGGTGTGATGGGTTCTGGAAATAGTTGGTATAAGTTCCCTTGAGGACTACTGACAACTGGCATAGGTTAGAGAAGGCCATACACAGTCTCACCTATGCTGCTGCCAGTACAAATTGGAAAATGTATCAAGCTTCCTGCCCTGTTCCCTCCCACAAAGATCTCAGCATGGGACAAACCTGGGTCTTCACTTGTTTCTGTGAAGTGTCCAGCACATTAAAAACAATAACTTACATATTAATACAACTTTCTCACATAATCCTCAAACTAATATGAAGTGTTAGATCAAGGGTCAAAGATATTTCAGTAATTGCCACAGTTGACTATTAACACCAAAATACTAATGTAAAAATATTTATTGCTATAGGAAAAATGCTTCCTTATGCATTTACCTCTTACAAAAGACAAAATGGTGATATTGAAGTAAGAGAAGACCATATAGCCCATAGCAGTTGAAGGTATTTATTTATTTTTAAAAAGTAAACCATATAACCTATTTTAACCCTTATAATGCTGGGAATTAGGTTCCCTTGATATGATTTGGACATGATTCACTAATACAAAGTGGGTTAGTACTTACATAAAAAACTCATGGTCTACTGGTAGCAATATATGGATTCAGAAACCTAGCTAAGAGCTACCATTTGATTCCTTCAGTCTTCAAAAATCTGTTTAGTTGCCTGTTCAACTGATTTATTGAGCTTGCATCTCTTGTTGCTTTTAGCAGATTGTTCCATAATTCACATTCTTTTGTTTAAAGAAAGCCTGTCTGAATGGTTTATAATTATTCTCTCCTAACTTGTCTATGACTTCTTATTTTGTGACTTAATGTCTAAAACAGCTTTGTGGCATTAATCTGTTCTTTACATTTCAGGATCTTAGAAAGAGTACTACACTGACATGACACCTTAGATTTTTTTGGCTACCTTTCAGAACTGCAACTCCAAATAATAATGGACATTTCTGGTCTTTGCAATGTTCTCACTGCAATATGCTGAATGACTACTGTGATAAAGACAGGCCGGACAGCTGCAGGAGGGTCTGGAAAACAGGTATATTAGCCCTAGAATGCTAAAGGCACTTTTTCCTACAAGCTGGGAGAGTTGCAATGTAGCACGCTTGTGCATGCTACAATTCACACCTTTGTGATCAGAACTGCAGGGCTATGGAGACAAGCCCTCCGTCTAAAATTCAGATTGTAAGCTTTTGGGGCTAAGGGTCTTTCTTTTATGTGTTGTATAGAGGAGCTAATGCACTTTTAGGATCTGCAAAAATAAAGTTATAATGATATAATGTATATCATGCATAAAGTGGATACATTGTTGACAACTTTTCTTGTGTTAAAAATGGATAAATCAAACAATATTTCTAAATATTATGAGAGAAATATAAAGCAGAAAACTGATTAAAATATTATAATTGTGGAAATTTCTTAGGTTTTTTTTAAACTTAATTTGTTTCAAAAGTTTATTTCAAAACCAGACCTGATTCTGTGCAAATATACAATCTAAAATGTGCACCCATGTTTCAAATACAGTTTATTTTTTGATCTAGTGTTATGTTTTATCAAACAAAGTACATTTTCTGTTTTACTCTCTTCCCACTTGTTGATGGCTAGCCAGCTGGGATCATTGTCATTAATAATGAATGAGTCCAAACCTGCATGTGAATTCTCATTGTAATGTATAGGAGCTACGTGTACAGAGTGCTTCCAACCTTTCTGTAACCACCTTTCTGTATACAGTGCTATAAAATCCCTCCTTGCCAGAGGCAAAATCTTTTCACCTGTAAAGGGTTAAGAAGCGAAGATAATCTTGCTGGCACCTGACTCAAAATGACCAATGAGGGGACAAGATACTTTCAAATGTGTAGGGGTGGGGTGGGGGGGGTTCTGTCTGTCTGTGTGATACCTTTGCCGGGAACAGATCAAGGATGCAAGCTCTCCAACTCTTGTAAAGTTAGTAAGTAATCTAGCTAGAAAATGCATTAGGTTTTCTTTGTTTTTTGGCTTGTAAATTCGCTGTGCTGGAAGAAATGTGTATTCCTGTTTTTGTGTCTTTTTGTAACTTAAGGTTTTGCCTAGAGGGATTCTCTATGTTTTGAATCTGACTGCCTGTAAGATTATCTTCTATTCTGATCTTACAGAGTTGTTCTGCTATCTTTTTTGTTCTTCTAATAAAGTTCTGATTTTTAAGAATCTGTTTTTTTTTGGGGTCTTAAAAATCCAAGGGGTTTGTGCTCATCTTGTTTATTCTCAAGCCTCCCCAGGAAAGGGGGTGTAAGGGCTTGGGGGGATATTTTGGGGAAATAGGAACTCCAAGTGGTCCTTTCCCTGTTCTTTGTCTAAAACACTTGGTGGTGGCAGCGTTTTACCTAATCCAAAGGCAAGGACTTTGTGTCTTGGAGAAGTGTTAACCTAAGCTGGTAGAAATAAGCTTGGGGATCTTTTATGCGGGTCCCCACATCTGTACCCTAGAGTTCAGAGTGGGGAAGGAACCTTGAGATGTGCACACACAAAAGAGAGAGACAGAGAGAGAAAGAGAGAAGGCACAAAGAGTCTGGCACTCTTGCTTTTCAGAAATGGAGGTGATGTCACCTAGGCAACATTCCCAGTTTCTGCTTGCTGTGGACATATGTTCCTTAGTAATGCTTTAATACTTATTTCTATGCTATTAGGCAATGGGCTATATCTTATCACCTGTTTGTTCCAGATTTTAAATCATGGTGTTAATTTTATTAGCTGTATTATTTATTAATAGTATTTAAAATAGGACTTACTAATATTATTGTCCTACAACAAAAATATTAGATCTCCATCTCTTGTGTG